ATGTAGGAAAAGCTACCTGAAACTAAACTGTCCACTACCATTATTAGAATGGTATTGTACCATTCACGTAACAGCTTGGCTAACATGTTCATCACCTGCCAAGACACAAGGATGTTATTCACAGCGCTGTTTGATTACATGTACCACTGACAAGTGGCACAAATATCCCAGTGAAGTACTGCATGCCATCAGCAGTCCAACAAAAAAAACACTATCAACAACTTCTGGAAGTTTTTTGCATACTGACCAAAAGATCAGCTCCATGCAGGCATATATGCAAACTCTATGACTCTGTGCAAACATTTACAAAGATAATTAGAAAATAAGTTACTATGACTTAATACTCCTATTTAAACCTTTTCAAACTATTTTTTTGCAAGTTCTGAAACTCTATATTTTTGTATCTTACTTTTAAGTCTAGGTTTATTCTACATTCTTACTGAGAGCACTTTAATGAGTCTGTGCATTAGGGCTCATTTCTGCATTAAGAAACTGTGACATCATTCTAAAACATTCACAGATAAAGCTGCCTTGCTCCCATTTCAGCACTTGAAGAAATACAAGATAAAATAATGCACACATTCTTGTGAAGTGACAACCAACAGAAAATCCACCCAGAAAAGATACTCCTTAACAGTTCATGGATAGCCAAATAAAAAATTAATAACAAAATCACTCTATTTGGAACACCACACAGGACATTCTTTGAGGTTTCCTAGAACCTTACCTCTTGCTTGCATGAGCTACTCACAAAAAACAACATGGCTTCCACACAAAAACAACTGAAAAGCATAAAACACACGAAAACCTTAGTCTAAGTTGGGAGCAGGAAGAGAAGACGTAAATCTAATAACAGCACATTCTTAAAGACCAATAAATACAATCTACTGGATCCAAATCTGTTGGGTTACTTGACCAGTACTTCTGCAAAAAAGTTTAAGACTTTTACTGGGACTGTCAGGGATAATTAATAAATCGTATTTCATAGAGTCAGCCACTAGGAGAGAAGGAAAGGATTCTAAGATTTCCCTGTCACAAAGTACTTGCATGTTAGGGAAATAAAAAACCCCACGATACACTTGTTTTTAAGGAAAAACTCACCTTGAATCAGTGGTTCTTATTCCTTATTCAAGTCTCCACTATTGCCACATAAGAAAACAGCACATCATAATGCTGAGCTGTGATTACTACATATTTTTGTCAGTGAAAGCAGAATCAGGGTTGTGCATTATACTTTTACCAAATAGAATGCAAGAGGCATGATATGCTACCACAATGATGTAGCTGTATAAAACCATCTAGGCTGAAAACAAGGAAACTGGCAGTTTTAAGAAGTTTCCTTTCAGTTTATCAACACTCTCCATAAGAAAATAAGCCATTTTAACTGAAGCTAGTATTTTCTGATGTAGCAAGGTTTTCTGTGTTGGTTTCTTCAGAAATTATTTTAACTAAGTTTTCCATTTTGGAAGCACATTACGATCACAACTTACTCCCAGTACAGTCTCAGCTTAAAATTATAACTAATTTTTTTCTTTTTCTTGCAATTGCTCTTGAAAACTATCCTTCCCATTAAACTCCCACTCAGGAGACCAGGGCTCACATACACACAGTCTAGCTGCCAAGCTAAATAACTTTACTCAAAATAATTTGGATAAGTCCTAAGGCTGTGAAGCTGCTCCACTTGAATGATGAGAATACGCTGAAGAAGATATGAATGCTGTCGTCCCTGTGCACACCTCAACCTGTTCTTCCATCAAGTTAACATAACAGAAAATAAACTAATACACTTTGCAAGAGTAACATGTATGAACTCCTTCAAACCAGCTTTACACTGTTTTAACATTAACATAATTAAAGGTAGTCCCTTCAAGCAATTCCACCTTTTCCTATAGAATCTCATATTCTGACCATAATTCCTTTATGAAAACACTCCCTGTGTTGCAATAACATGGATTAATAAAATCCACTGCATGCTTGCTCCACCTGACACATGAAAAAATCCTGTGCCTTCAAGTTTTAGGCACACAGAAAACGTAAGGACCAGAAAACAAGTGCAAGAGATGAGATGAGTCACAGCTCTGAGATCTTCTTACATACTCTTGGGACAGATTTCTGCATCCAGCATCCCAGATCCCCCCCCAGTGGTGAAAGACCCACAGCTTTAGCCTCTACTCTGAAGCATTAACTCTTATGTTTTGCTAGAAGCACTGTCTCATTAACAGATCGTAAGTCTTGTGGGAACAAGAGAGGAAAACTCTAACATTTTGACAGTATGTTCACATTACAGGTGTGGCTTACGCTGGAACCAATGGCTGAGATACGATTTTTTTTTTTTCTTAAACACTATACACTAGCAAAAGCTCTCTATAGCTACTAAAAAGTAGTTACTAGCATAACTCATTTTGCTCAAATTGATCGGGCTTTAGTTGGGATTTTTATTTTTTTAAACACACTATTGTTGCAAGAGGAACAATTTACACCAGTCTTTGCCAAGAACTCCTACAGCATAATTACAACATCAAACAGTATTACGTGGTAGAAGTCCACAGATTTTCCTTTCCTAGATGTACATCTACTTACAAAGTTGCAGACTTAGGAAGCTTGAAAGTCCAAAGAAAAAAAAGTAAGCAATAAATATTGTGTAGTTTATCACCTTGGCTGTGTATTTAGAATTACAAAGTGGCCACACTCATAACTATTGTCAAAATTATAAATAATTTCTTGCACTTCTTTCCCTCTTCAACATACAAAAAGCAGGTAATTTTTTATGAAAACCAAAAATACAACAGAAGACTGCATACCTAAAACTCTTAACATGTGATGGCACAAAGAAATGAACAGATGATTGCAGCAAAGAACAGAAACAGCACAAGACTTTTTACAGGACGAAAAAGACGGGGGTCACAAGCAAGTAATTGCTGGAATAGGCGAGACAAGAAAACTTGACAGAGTTTGCTGAGTATTGAGGAAGCAACACGCAACCCCAGCGCAGAACACAGCCTGCAAAGCATGCAAAGACAAGTTTAAGAAAACACGACAAGAAATAAACACAGCAAAGCCCAGCAAAAGAGAAGACAGAGAACAAGGAGAAGTAACAGTGGAGACACTCATAAAAATGTAAACGGGTTCGTGCAACCCTGCACATAAAGCATTTCAATTCCCAGCCATTCACAGCACTTTGATC